CACTTGAAGCGTGAAATTGACAATCACCATGTAGTGTTGATTCCTATGTTCGCACAGTTTATATCTACCTATTTATTTATGTATCCTCTTGCTATTAACGTCACATTTCGTTGGTGAGTGAAATGAATAGCAACCAGCCTTTCGGTCAAAATGCTCATTAATGAAAATGTGCCTCTCAATCGGAATAAAAACTGTGTTCTCAATTTATTCTGGGGAGCCATCTTCATGCCATGTGGGCTTTAACTATGTAGCTAAGAGAAACCGTTGCAGTACTTTAAGGCTAAGTTACCTTATTTAGGAAGCGCACTTCTCAGGATGAGACATTTCAAATTCGATATTTGTTGACTTTTGATTCGTACCCGAAAAGTGGTGAATGAATTATTTTTTAAGCAATTAAAGTATTTTTCTTAATCAAATATTATTTCTCATCACTATAAACATTATATTTAGTGACTATAAGTGTTTGAGTAGATTGGTTTTTTTTTTTTTTTTTACGGCATATCAACACCTAAATGGGTTATTTTATGCCGACAAGATTTTTATTGCTGGTCATATTTTAAAAAAAATATATATTGCTGGTAATATATATATATATATATATATATATTAAATGTGTTGCTGGTATAATTTTTTTCCAAAAATATATTGCTGGTAATTTTTTTTCAAAAATGTATTGCTGGAAATAATTTTTTTTCCAAAAATATTTTCCTGGTAATATTTTTTCCAAAAATGTATTGCTGATAATATCTTTTTTCAAGAATGTATTGCTGAAAATATTTTTATTTTTCAAAAATGTTCTGCTGGTAATAAATTTTTCAAAAAGGTATTATTATTTTTTTGGACTTCATACTGCTTTGACCCCTTTTTTTGGTGGGGGGTTAACTATTTGCCCATAGCTGGGACCCTGACAGGTGCTACCACCCCGGTCAGAGTGGACCTGGGAAGACTAGTAATTCAGAGGTAGTTCCATGCTCTTCAAAAACCTTCTGATCAAAGTCCTTGCTGTCGGGTGTAGTTTATCGTCTTACCCAGGACACCTGTTTGCGTAGGCATTCCCGCTATACATGCCTGGATACATGTGAGTTGGGATCAAATATGGATCGGAATCCGACAGAATAGTAAGATAAAATAACAAATATGTAACGTTTATCAATGTAACATGTTACCTACCTAACGAACTTATATAAATGGTTCGGTGAAGCGTGATTTATCGCAAAAAGATAAATTTATTAAGGGCTACAAGGGGCAGGAAGTTGTGGAGAGCGATATTCGCCCACGTTCTGAAGGGATACGGCACATAGATGAAAAATATTGCAGTGTGAGAAACTCATCTGAAAGGATGCTAAAATATTTTGTGCTCAGCTACCTTGAAAGAAGGTAGATACATTGGTGAGTTGTCCTGGAAGATAGTCTCCTAACCGCGGGAGCAGATTCCCGTTTCATCCGATGTAAATAGCTTATCACGACATGTAAACACGAGATTGAGTCATCTGTGCTAAGGATGTGTACGCATAAGAAAAACTGTATGCCAAGTAGATATATAAGCACGCACCCAATGATAAAAAGAAGTGAGTTTCTTACATCCTGCTTAGAATATAGAGTCCATATTCGGAAAAAAAATCCAGACACACACCCACTGTAAGTGAAAATGTCTGGTCTTGAATAAAATGTAATGTTGAATATGAGAGATTAAACCTGGCACAAGGCTGCAAAACAAGAGAACAAATTACAGTTGTGATTTTTTCAACATATCTAGTTTCTTAACCATGCCTAAAAATGCTTTCAGTATAATTTGGCACAAGACCAAAATAGTCGGGCATCTGTTAGGATCGAACTTAAATAGTAAACTGAACTAGTGTATCATAATATTTAACTATTGAAGCGTTGTCCATATATTTAAAACGCAATCTGTCTTCAGATATTAGTGGGGTGCTGAAAATATCTTCAGAGATTAGTTGGGTGCTGAAAATGCCTTCAGAGATTAGTGGGATGCTGAAAATGTCTTCAGAGATTATTGGGGTGCTGAAAAGTCCTCCTCCTGATTCGCTTCCCGAATTGTAGCCAAACAACCTAGCATTTAATATTTTGGAGGCAGTACATCATTCATAGGGGCAACTATCGTTTCCTTTTTTACGAATACGATTCTAGTTTAAAGATAAATTTCTTTATTTAAACAATGAGTATGATTTTTATTCTTTATTACGATCTTAAAAAATGCAGTCAATAAGATTATTCCGTAAAGAGAAACAATTATTTATTAGTAAGGTCGTCGCCCATTTATCTTAAATATTTGACGTACAGCTGAGTCCCTTTGCCATTGTCCATTTTCTTTTTTTTAAGTAGCGTCGTTTGTCTCGGAGTACGGAAAATCCTTCTAACATTCTTCTGTCTTCAGGAACGTGAGAACTCATGTTGTATCCAGTGAGTGAATATTACTGGAAGAACACAAAGTCATCTAAAGTGGCACAGTTGTCTTTGATCCTTCCACCACCACCTCGAATCTCGTCTCATATGGAGGCAATTGAACCTTCTGACAAATACTTTATGTACCAATTTCTTTCTTTTTTTCTTTCTTTCTTTCTTTCTCATTTTTTCCTCTCTTTCTTCGATACTTCAACATTCAGATAAGACGTGACCGGGACGGAAACAGAGGAGGTGAAGTGGGTGGGCGTTGAAGTCTTCTAGAACCGCCTACGCAGATCAAACTGTATCACCTCTGACGGACACATTCTGTTAATTTGATTTGGTATTTTTTTTTTATTTGGAGTGGGGAAGATGTTAGCCAGGATTTTACTTCACGGAGCAAAAAGGAGAAAAAATGGAGAGAAATCTCTTTTGGTACAAATGCTTACAAACGTTTACATACAGTTTCAATTGCTTACACACATAGTTTACTTAATCCCTAAGGTTGTGATGTATTTCCCATTGGCACTAGTGATATGTGTTCGAACCAAGGCTAAAGCCGATGTATATAATTAGATTTTTTTCAAGGTTTCTCCACTTGGGACCTAAGGACAGATATTATTTTTGCCTGCAACCTCTCTTGAACTTTGTTCTTAGTACTGTGTCCTTTCATGTGTCTATGGCTGTACCCAGATTCCAGGTTTTTATAGATAGTAGTAAAAAAGAAATCTTTGCTCAGTGAAAATGTCGCCCGTGATTGGTGTTGGAAACTAGTAATAAGAGAGAATTGCCAAATTAAAAGTACTTCATCAGTATATCATTAGCACTATCTGTAAGAATCTCCAATTCTTATTTCCCAAACAGGTAAGCTCCCTAAAACTGTTCTAAATATGTTTAGCAGATTTAGTAAGGTAAAAAAAAAAACACAGGAGTTGGGCGCCCATCTCCGATCGAACCCTCTGTAGCAGTAATCGTTTTTCGAATAATTATTCCACCGCAAGCAGCGCTAATTTTTATTTTTTATCAATGAATTGAGGGCTGAATTTTCGTTGCCTTTAACCTTTCAAATATCTACATACATATACTAGACTTTGCTGAAATTTCAAAGCACATTGACCGTCCAGAGTTTTCAACCTAGTTAGCCACAACCTTTTGTTTACAATTGGATTCAATTCATTGAGCAAGAGAAAAAAATTGAAAACGGCAATGCATCATCATCATCATTATCATCAGTTATCATAGGGTCGCTGCGTAGTTTGGCACCTAAGCAATTCCCTCCCCATATCTGGAATGGAAGCAGGAGAGATATTTAATCACACGCAGCGTGTTTTGGGGCAACTAGACCTGGCGGAACCTATTCTTATCCAAGTTAAACTAGAGCCACTGTCGTCCAAAGACTAGATTCCATCGGTGCTCCGCGCTGGCTGTTGACTTTCTTTTAAGAACAGCGATGACATGTTATCACCTTACTGCCAGGATTTCTCCACTTGGGACCTAAGGACAGATATTATTTTTGCCTGCAACCTCTCTTGAACTTTGTTCTTAGTACTGTGTCCTTTCATGTGTCTATGGCTGTACCCAGATTCCAGGTTTTTATAGATAGTAGTAAAAAAGAAATCTTTGCTCAGTGAAAATGTCGCCCGTGATTGGTGTTGGAAACTAGTAATAAGAGAGAATTGCCAAATTAAAAGTACTTCATCAGTATATCATTAGCGCTAGCTCTGTTAGAATCTTCTGCTATGGAGCCTGTTTTCCCTATTTTGCTAGATGGCCTTTGACCCAACAAAAAGGTTCATCCACTCTTGGCTAGCTACCATCTTCACCAGAAAATCCTGGTGAAGGAACCCATTTAGTCGTTGATGAAACGACCATGTGGCAAGTTGTATCGGGCCACATGATGCCAATAACGCACGTAGAGCAACCTGACAAATATCTCTTATTAACATTGTTTATTTTAACTTTTTAGAATTACTATTGAATGATTCTGCGACAAAATTGTTGTATTTTATTACAACTTCATCTTAGTATCGGTTATATTGAAAATATATGTAACATTTTTCAGTAATTTTATTAAATTCTGCTTCCGTTGCAGCGAACAAAAACAGATAGTGAAAGATAAAAATTCTTAGACCATATAACCTGAGCATAATTCTTCCAGAATATACTTATATATAATATACTTATATATAACATAGAGATCTGTGTAGATAGCTCCCAAATTCAATTTACTTATGTGTTGCCGTAAAAGTAGTAAATTTTAGAAATACGTTCAGTCTGTAATGGGGTAAAGCAAATGATCATGAAAATATTTTATTCTTATTGAAGTAGAGAGAAGCTTGCAACGTAAGTGGATAACGATTTAGACGCATTGCAATAGCGAAAGATGTATTCCAAAAAACTGAGAAAAGTATTAAGAAGTTCTAGGGTACAGAACGAGGAAAGAGGACTTGGAAAAGTAGATACTCACAGGATAGATTGAATGCAGGATGGATATAGGAAAGCAACGCATAAACTAACTGGTGAGATTGAGTAATTGGATGGCAGAACAGGATTTAGAAGAGATAACAAAAAGAAAGTTTATTAGAGCTAAAAATGACAGGAAAAATGAAAGAAAAGAAAAAAAAAGAAAGAAAGAAAGAAAGAAAGAAAGAAAAAAGAAAGAAAGAAAGAAAAAAAAGAAAGAAAGAAGGTAATATGTCTTTTAGCGTTATAAAATTTACAATATTTCATCAATATAAAAAGTGTTTCTGAACTTTGTATCCAATCCTCGGCAAAATCCAGAGACGAATATGCAATGCGATTGTTCCTGAAATGGCATCTTGTTTACAGTCACTCTCTCACAGACGTGACATCGCTTCCCTCTGTCTTTTCTACAAATACTTTCATGGTAACTGCTCCGACGAGCTATTTTCGCTAGTTCCAAAATTGCCTGAATTTTAACGTGTTACTAGATTGGCGTCTCAGTTCCACCATTTCACTGTCGAAACCGTTAAATGTAGCCGTCTCTTCTACTCCAATAGCTCCATGTCTATGAAAATCCCTTTCTCTTACTTGCTTCCCTGATAGCTATAATCTCAAACTATTCAAATGCAATGTCAAGTGACATCTTCGGATGCCTTGATCTAATTCACCGTCCTTCTCGTCATACTTTCCTCTTTCACACCTCTTTACACTTGCTCCCACTCTCTGTAACCCCTTGCGTCCTAGTGGCACGCCCGTAATATAATATATATATATATATATATATATATATATATATATGACTGATCAGACATATCTCCGTGGTGTAATGATTAACAATCTCGTCTCATTAGATCAATTATGATTGTGTAGTGAATTCGATCCTTACTGGGTGCTCTATGTTTGCAGCCTTTTGTCACGTTTTAAGTTTCAGAAAAATATAGAAAATCATCTTTAATGTGACCTTTTCGCTAATCAGTTCAAAATATATCATTATGTGCCGTCAATCAATCCAAAGTATGACCTCACTACGTAAGATATGACATTTTCACGAAAAAGAGTGTACAATATTATGAACTCAATTACTAGGATTTTTTATATTCTTCACAAAATACAATTAAAATATAAATTATATCCGGGCTCTTGAAGAGTGATTAAATTTACTCCCTTTTTACTTTAAGGTTCACCCTGAACAAGGCCCGGGAGCCACACGAAGTATAGGGTTAGGTTAAGGGGTATTTCATATGGATAAGAGGGGGAAGATAACGGTTAACTCTAGATTTGCACAGGTTAAGATTGTAGTGATCAGTGGAAACATCGTCTTGGGAGTCTGTCCCACAGGGCAGTGCTTTGCGGGAAGAAGCTGTTCGTGTTGAACATCGATGGAATACAGAAGGAATGTGCATGGTTTGCTACAATGTGATTGGGTTCAAGCCGTGAAGGTTAGATCTGGAAGACCTGGCGGAATCAAGGGCTATCGTTCGTCCGAACACTTTCCATGGAATTAGCGATAAAGCAGTGAGAGCTTCGCCACATCCTGATATATATATATATATATATATATATATATATATATATATATATATATATATATATATATATATATTGGAGGATAGAAAATAATTATTCTCCAACATGGACTCGGAGACGCTTTTGGATTCTCTCAAGACTGGAAAGTGTGGACTGTGCAGATGCTGCACAAATATGGCAAAATTACGCCATAATTCGTCTTGTCATATATTGATGGTTATCCATCTAGTATCGCTTGTAATTGCTTGTGAATTAACTTCTCACTGTGTACACCAGCATCATTGCCAAGTCTCTGGTTAAACTTAGTAAAATATCTGTGTTCTTTTGTATGGCCATCACACATTCTGTTTTCTTTCTGCTTTCTTGAAAATAGTATATGTCGAAAGTTCCACTTGTAAGTTATATTTTGTTTTTTTTTTTTCTTTTTGGGGTATGGAAAAGTCAAGAGAAACAGATTGTCATTGGGTGCTGCGAAGATTGAGGGTGGGGAGCTATGTTGAACAGGTCCAGGGAGAAATAAGAACGTGAAAGGAAGAGTGGCTTGCTTGTATTTTTTTTGGAACAAACGAATATTCCACATTGTGAATGACGACAAGGAAAAAGAATGGTGTAAAAGAAGGAATTCAGAGATATGAAGAAAATGGAAAGAAGTAATCAGATTAAAACGAAAGAAGAGGTGTAGGAAAAAAAAAAAATTTTTTAAAATTGGGCATGGTGTGTGTGTGTGTGTGTGTGTGTGTGTATGTGAGAGTGAGAGAGAGTGGAAATCAAAGGAAAGTGAGAATGAACGAACGAATAAATAAGGAAATGTGAAAGAGAAGGGATGAAAATAGAGAGGATTGTATTAAAACGTTAACTGAAGGAAAAAATCGATCAAACAAATGAATGAAGATAGGAGAAGAAAGAAAAGAGAATAAAAAGTGACAGACTGAAGAATACACGTGAGAAATAATGAATTGAAATAAAAATAAGGAGAATGGTGAAAGGGAAAGTTAAAAAAAATGTAACAAAATTATTAAAGAAAGAGAGGGTAAATTATCAAGAATGACGGAATAAAAAGGAATGAAAAACGATTTATAGAGAAGAAATTAAGAACTAGCAAATCTGGCGAAAAAGGGAAAGAGATGCAGTAGGAAAGGAAACAAGTAATGAGAGAAGCATGTCGGGAAGGAAGGAACGAACAAACGGAAGTAGAAATATACGAAAGAAGAAATAACTGAAAATAAATAATAAAAATAAGCCGAAAGAAAGGAAAATATTTGAAATAAGAGGGACAAATAAAAATTGTGGGACAAGAGAGAACGATGTAAATGTAAAAAAAAAAAAAGAAAAAGAAAGAAGGAAAGAAACTCTTACACGGAAACGGAATAATAAAATGCACACAGACACACAGACACACACACGCAAACAAAGACACACACAAAATATATATATATATATATATATATATATATATATATATATGACAAATCCCCCCCACAAAAAAAAATCGAAATACAAAAAAAAAAAAAAAGAAGTCGCGGGCGAAGAGAATAGATACGCGTCTAGATTGATTGCGTTGTATAAAAGTTGTTTTCTTAACTGGGGGCCCAACTGATTTCTCAGTGTCTTTTCTATTAAATCGACACACGCCACTCGTCGTCATATGTTTGCTTAGCGACAAGGGACCGACTTTTTGACACAGAGACACAAAGACACAATTCGGAAATTTTTTCAGGTCTATTCGACGCAGGTGTGACTGACATCCTTCCTCGTCATTACCGCCAAACACACATACGCATGCGCACAGACCACCCGCAAACAATCCTAAAATATATCGTCACAAAAATCACCTTTAACTTAACGTATCATCAATATTAATATGAAACACCAAGTTGTTCATATCAGTCAGCAAGTCGAAAATGGCTAAAAGCAAATATTAGATATCTATGCAGAACAAGATGAAATAAAAATTAAACAAAATAATATCTTATATAAAAGGATTTTAGCAGAAAGTTCTTCGTAATGCAAAAATATGGTATTTTTACTTATTTGGTACTACTTAAATAGACTGGTACATGCATAAAAAATAGAGACATTTTCTTTTGGAAATAATTTTTGTGCATTAGGTTTCTTTAGAATTTCATTATTACGACATTTGTCAAATTCGAAAAAAAAATTGTCCTTTTATCGATCTAGAAGAGGGCCGTGTTTATAATGTCGACGCAGTATCAAATTACTCCTTGATTTTGTCTGTGATAAAGGGGTTGCAGGGTGGGAAATAACTTGTTACCTCCAAGGACGAAAAGACTCTTTTTGACAGTTTCTTCATTTAAGATAAATTCATATTAAGTTCAAATGTTTGTGCATGGGCTCCCGAAAAAAATCCATACCGAAAAAACTTTGTGAAAAAAATGATTAAAAATTTTAAAAAGCGTTTTAAAAAAATGTAAAAAAAAAAAATAAATAAATAAAATATGCAGATATCAATACTAAAAATTAATAGGATCCAATAACTCTTTAAAATTAAAGGATCGATTTTATACTATGTCGATATTATAAACTGGGGCACATTTTAAATCGATAAAAATCGATTTTGACAAGTGTCGCAGCGTAAAAATAGTAATTCTTAAAAATTATTTCCTAAAAAGGCTTTTTTTTGCGTTTAATAGGGTTTCAATCTACTTAAGGACTGCCATTCATTCTTCTTAATAATTAAACGTTAATTTTATTTTTTTCATTTTGAAAACTATTGTCTGAGATTCTAGGATTAACTATTTACATAAACTTTCCAAAACACTACCGTCCTTAAAATTCACTGCTTTCGAGATATTTATGTTGAAACATGTATTAAAAAGAGACATCTTTGTTTTTATTGCACTTTTTGACCAACAATGCGTTCAATAACTTTTTGTTACTCTATGTACATATCAATGTTTTTTGTTTTTGTTTTGTTTTTGTTACTCTATGTACATATCAATGTTTTTTGTTTTTGTTTTGTTTTTGTTACTCTATGTACATATCAATGTTTTTTGTTTTTGTTTTGTTTTTGTTACTCTATGTACATATCAATCAGAAATGTTAAGACGAGCTAACTGGAAAATAAGATTTTAGTTAAAATATTTGTTGCCACCATTATAACTGAAGAGATATTTTCAAGGACCCCCACCCACCCCTTGAGGTTGGTGAGATAAAACGAACTGTTTTCTGGAGGGTCTCAGGAAATAAATGAAAAAGAAGTAAAATAATTAATGGAATAAAACAAATACGTACTACTAAAAAACATAAAACAAACTAACATCTTTCTTCCTGATTGATCAACGAGCACAATGAATCATCATCATCATCATCATCATCATCATCATCATCATTACAACAGGTATATAGTCTTCATTCTAAAGAACCAAAGTCACTGCAAAGCAATTCCAGCATTCAAATTGTAGCCAAATCAAGAAGTCATCATCCATTTGTGACGCCATCCCGTTATTAATATTAATGAAGACACCACTATATCAAGAACAAGCAACAAGTCTAAAATCCCAGTAATGTAACAACTTATTACATGGTGTGGTGAACTAAATAATTTTTCTATAAGGATTCGAAGGAAAGATAAATTATGATAGAAATTACCGAGGAAATATGTGGCCAGAACTGTAAGATATCTCCAAAGAAAGAAGCAAAGGGTTGATCAATATTAGCACCAATAATTAGAATTAGTCACCACAAATAAGCATTCTCACCAGTCCCAATGAACAGTTGCACTCTCAATTTGGTACCTTGCTTCGGAAGACTATTGCAACTAGAAATGAGGCTTCTTGCTTTGAACCTCTATTAGGAGTCTCAATGAAGATATTTACTTCGAAAGTCTGTAACTCTTCACATTAAACATCCTCAATGTTAGGCATTCAATAAGACTCCTTAAACATCTAATGAAGATACATTCTTTGAACGTCTCTTCAGATTCTCAATGGAATCTTTGACTAAAATTCTATTAGGCTTCTCAATTAGGCTTTTATATCTGACATCTATTAGGACTCTTCAATAAGTTACTCCTTTGAGCGCCTGTTAGTGCATTCAATAAGACTCCTTGCTTTTCTTATCTATTGGGACTCAATGAAGATACATTCTTTGAACGTCTCTTCAGATTCTCAATGGGAATCTTTTGCACAATAAAAATTCTATTGGGCTTCTCAATTAGGCTTTTTATATCTGACATCTATTGGGACTCTCTCGATGAAGTTACTTTCTTTGAGCGCCTGTTAGTGCATTCAATAAGACTCCTTGCTTTTTCTTATCTATTGGGACTCAATGAAGATACATTCTTTGAACGTCTCTTCAGATTCTCAATGGGAATAAAATTTTGCACTAAAACATCTATTGGGACTCTCTCGGCTTCTCAATTTAGGCCTTTTATATCCTTGACATCTATTGGGGACTCTACATTCGATGAAGTCTCTTATTCTTTCTTTGAGCCCCTGTTAGTGACATCTATGGGACACTCTCAATAAGACGCCTGTTTGCTTTTCTTATCTATTGGGACTCAATGAAGATACATTCTTTGAACGTCTCTTCAGATTCTCAATGGGAATCTTTGCACTAAAATTCTATTGGGCTTCTCAATTAGGCTCTTTATATCTGACATCTATTGGGACTCTCTCGATGAAGTTACTTAGCGCCTGTTTGAGCGCCTGTTAGTGCATTCAATAAGACTCCTTGCTTCTTTTCTTATCTATTGGGACTCAATGAAGATACATTCTTTGAACGTCTCTTCAGATTCTCAATGGGAATCTTTGCACTCAAAAATTCTATTGGGCTTCTCTCAATAGGCTCTTTATATCTGACATCTATTGGGACTCTCTCGATGAAGTTACTACTTTGAGCGCCTGTTAGTGCATTCAATAAGACTCCTTGCTTTTCTTATCTATTGGGACTCAATGAAGATACATTCTTTGAACGTCTCTTCAGATTCTCAATGGGAATCTTTGCACTAAAATTCTATTGGGCTTCTCAATTAGGCTCTTTATATCTGACATCTATTGGGACTCTCTCGATGAAGTTACTTACTTTGAGCGCCTGTTAGTGCATTCAATAAGACTCCTTGCTTTTCTTATCTATTGGGACTCAATGAAGATACATTCTTTGAACGTCTCTTCAGATTCTCAATGGGAATCTTTGCACTATTGGGAAAAATTCTATTGGGCTTCTCAATAGGCTCTTTATATCTGACATCTATTGGGACTCTCTCGATGAAGTTACTTTACTTTGAGCGCCTGTTAGTGCATTCAATAAGACTCCTTGCTTTTCTTATCTATTGGGACTCAATGAAGATACATTCTTTGAACGTCTCTTCAGATTCTCAATGGGAATCTTTGCATTCTAAAAATTCTATTGAAATTTACTTGCTTTGGCATTCTTCTCAATTATGGGCTCTTTATATCTGACATCTATTGGGGGACTCTCTCGATGAAGTTACTTACTTTGAGCGCCTGTTAGTGCATTCAATAAGACTCCTTGCTTTTCTTATCTATTGGGACTCAATGAAGATACATTCTTTGAACGTCTCTTCAGATTCTCAATGGGAATCTTTGCACTAAAATTCTATTGGGCTTCTCAATTAGGCCTTTTATATCTGACATCTATTGGGACTCTCTCGATGAAGTTACTTTCTTTGAGCCCCTGTTAGTGCATTCAATAAGACTCCTTGCTTTTCTTATCTATTGGGACTCAATGAAGATACATTCTTTGAACGTCTCTTCAGATTCTCAATGGGAATCTTTGCACTAAAATTCTATTGGGCTTCTCAATTAGGCTCTTTATATCTGACATCTATTGGGACTCTCGATGAAGTTACTTACTTTGAGCGCCTGTTAGTGCATTCAATAAGACCTTGCTTTTCTTATCTATTGGGACTCAATGAAGATACATTCTTTGAACGTCTCTTCAGATTCTCAATGGGAATCTTTGCACTAAAATTCTATTGGGCTTCTCAATTAGGCTCTTTTATATCTGACATCTATTGGGACTCTCTCGATGAAGTTACTTACTTTGAGCGCCTGTTAGTGCATTCAATAAGACTCCTTGCTTTTCTTATCTATTGGGACTCAATGAAGATACATTCTTTGAACGAATTCTCGAATCTTTGCACTAAAATTCTATTGGGCTTCTCAATTGGGCTCTTTATATCTGACATCTATTGGGACTCTCTCGATGAGTTATCTTTGAGCGCCTGTTAATTGCATTCAAAAATATCTATTGGGACTCAATGAAGATACATTCTTTGAACGTCTCTTCAGATTCTCAATGGAATCTTTGCACTAAAAATTCTATTGGGCTTCTCAATTAGGCTCTTTATATCTGACATCTATTGGGACTCTCTCGATGAAGTTACTTACTTTGAGCGCCTGTTAGTGCATTCAATAAGACTCCTTGCTTTTCTTATCTATTGGGACTCAATGAAGATACATTCTTTGAACGTCTCTTCAGATTCTCAATGGGAATCTTTGCACTAAAATTCTATTGGGCTTCTCAATTAGGCTCTTTATATCTGACATCTATTGGGACTCTCTCGATGAAGTTACTTACTTTGAGCGCCTGTTAGTGCATTCAATAAGACTCCTTGCTTTTCTTATCTATTGGGACTCAATGAAGATACATTCTTTGAACGTC